TAGGCACCATTACACAACAAACAGCTGCATCTGGTTTGGGGAGAAGTCTCCGCCCTGACATATGGTCTGTACCACTGCTCTACTCACGTTTTTTTAGGGACAGAACTGGATTTGTAGGTGCTGGTAAAGTTGCGCTATGCAAGGCCGTGCAGTGGACAGGGGCTACAGCTGACTTGGGAGAGTTTGTGGGCCTGCCTATAGCCACAAAAAGAGGGCAGCCAGACCTTGTGATGCACATGTGGATGCAGGACTTCACTGCAGTATGGTGATGTGATATTTCTTGCCTCAAACTTAAAGCTGGCTTCTGTGAACTTGTGCATGGCAGTACCAGTGTGGGTAGGGTGCCCTTTACATCGGTGTCACTAGTCCAGAAACACCGTGCTCCATATCATTTGGGAAGATCCTTCCCATCGTTCTGATCAGCGCAGTGACATCTTTGCAGAGGATCATCTCCCCCAGCGAGCTGAGCCCAAACCCACTGCCTACCCAAATCCCATCGTGCTGCACTCCCAGCCGGGGAGTAAACAGGCAGCACAATCCACATGCGACTCCAAATGCCCGTGTTTGATGTGGCTCGCTTCCCCAAGGCCAGCCAAATTCCCACCCGCCACAGCACTTGGGGCAACAGGACAAACAAGCAGTACCGACACGACAGAGCTGCCAGGTGTTGACACCGAGGAGTTGGGGGAGTTCACAGAGGAATAACAAACAAACAGTGCCGATGAAAAAGTACTTTCCTTCTCTGTTGAGCAGCTCTGCACAAGCCGGGAGACAATCAGTCCAAAGTGCCACACACATATTAGGACTTGGTAATTGAATGAAATCATACAGCCTCGTGATGATAGGGCATAGGAGTCTATAGGGCATATTGCTCAACTCTCTCTTAGTGTCTTTCTATATTTGGAGCAGTTACTCTCCTGGGGGAGAACTATCAAGGGCATCTAGTAAGGAAATGACCAAACTAATATGTCTTGTTGGAGCAAATATCTTCAGTGAAACTGCACAACAAGAGCTCTTGTAGCTTGATTAGCCATACAAGGCACATGAACTTACAGGAGAAAATGGGACAGCTACCAGGGTGTCACATCTTTCCTTTTGCTAACTGCTATCATCAGGTGTCGGGCACACTTTCCTAGCACTGGCCTGGAGCATAGCACTCGCATTCATGGGCAATGGGGACTGCAAGCGGGCTGTCCAGGGGGAGCCCAAACTGATTGCAGGCAGTCCCACGTTTCAAAGGCAGAGGAATTCAGGAGTGCCCAGGAACCAAACTGCTAACCGCATATCAAAATTTAGGTCAACATTTACATACTTCAATTCTATGTGTGTAAATTGTGGTGTTAGTGTAAATGTATAATGAGTAAACATCAAATGCAGACGGTCTGATTTTTCTTCCCTGGTGACACATCTATGCAACATCCAGTGAGGTCAGTGAACACGTTTATTCAGATGACTTGGTATGTATTTTAGACTTTATGTAGGAATATGGGACTGGAAAGTAATTCCTGGTGCAAGTCCAGCCCCTTTGTACAATCCTCTTAATTCATTTACCGTGTTCCAGTTTAAACCCACTTGGGTTTCCTGGCCCAGCTTCATTTACCACAAGTCCATGGCAGAATGCGAATGGTGAATCCTTGCTGAGTCTGCACTCTTCTTACTCTTTGTTTGACTGGTTTTCGGTACAAGATCGGCATTTAACACAAGTTCCACACCCACCTCTCTGAATTAGTGTGGATTCAGAAACTCTTCATTAGATAGGCATAGACTGGAAGTTGTTATGACAGGATTTGACGAATCTGAGCTTAAGAGTTTAGGAGTCCCTTCTGAGAACAAACCAGGCCACAACAGCATGTAAAATTTGACATTCCTGATTACTAGAAACTCAAATTGAGTTCCTTATGCAGCTTTTGTACTAGTCTTATGCCTAAAAGAGAAATACTCATAGCAAAAATGCAAACACTTCATTTCTGTTAAGCCAACATTCAGTGGAGGTGAAACAATTACTATCTGTTCCAGTGCTTTCCCTGTGGCAATACTGTAAATAACATTTAGTGTCTGGATGAGAGCAGCTGCCAACAAGAAGCAACAATATCAATTCATTTAAAAGAAGCTTGCCATTGTTCCGTGGAATTGTACTCCTTAAAAATTAGTAAATGTGATACTGACGTAGAATTTTATGTGCAAGGTAATGATTCGTTTTTAATGGTGCAATTCTTCAATAGCACTCTGGGTGCAATTTTTTGTTACTTTTCCTTCTAGCTATTGTATGTCTGTCTTCCCTGATGGATTGTAGTCCTCTTTAGCAGATCATGAGCAAGTTGTCTCCAAGGTGCTTGGTCCATGAAAAACAAAAAGGGACGTGAAATGCATGTTGTTTTTTTTCACTTGGGAAGGTTTCCTCTTCTTTCACTTGTCTTTAGGTACCACAACAAACGTTGTGGTTTGTCATTGTAGGATCTTGTTCTTTCTGCTCCTCACAGAAGCAGCGATAACATCAGTAGACTGCTGGGGAACAACATTATTTGATGTCTGCCACTGGGCTGGCATTGTGTACAGGGATGCAGTCTAGCTCTCCTGAAGTCAATACAGAAATTCCTACTCATCTCTGGGAAGATCAGACCAGTATTGCTAAAGACACTTTTTTTTTTTTTTTTAAAGACCAGGACCCAGGAGCATTTAATGTGAAAGCACAATTAGCACATGGGCAAGTCATGTGTTTGTGCACACAACTGCAAATTAGGCATGCGATGGTTGTGGTAATTACAGGTTCAAATCCAGTTTCCATTAAAGCGGGCATTTTCCACTCTGCTAAAGACTTCCAGCATGATCCAACATGAGTCCAGCAGACAGAGTCCAGTCCACAAGCCCATGCCATCCACCTCTCTGCCTTTTCTCATCTGCCATGGAGAAGCCAGGAGCAAACTATGACAAATCGGAAAAAAAAAATCTATAGACAATGCATTGAGCATAGGAGGAGAGAAGAGAAGAGAAGAGAAGAGAAGAGAGAGAGAAGAGAAAATAGAGAAAGAAGAGAAGAGAAGAGAAGATAAAGAGACGAAAGAGAAGCAACGAAAGAGAAGAAGAGACTATAAGCTAAGATAAGATACTAAGCGAATAGAATAGAGAAAGCAAGAGAAAGAGAAGAGACGCCCCTCTCTGCCTTCCGCTCCCCCGCCCGTCCGACTCGCTCACTCCTCGCCTCGCCCTCCCATACCTCGCTACTCCCTCTACTCTCCATAGATAAGATTTAGAACGAAGAGAGGAAGAGAAGAGAAGAGAAGAGAAGAGAAGAGAAGAGAAGAGAAGAAGAAGGGGAGGCTGCTGCTTGTACCAGGAGCATTTCCCAAAGCTCACAGCCAACCCCAGTAACTGCTGTTGCTTCTGTGGGCATCAAGCCCAGCTCCTCTGAGGTCGGTGGACCCACACTGGTCCTACAGTTGTGTAGGTAAAATAAAATCAGGGCCCAAGCCTGACAATTAGGGCCCTTTCCAGAGGGAAAAAGAGCTCCACTCCCAATGCTACGCCCTTCCTTTCCAACCTCTCCCCTAAATCCAGGTTACCCAATTCCAACATGATTTAGCTCACAGCTAGCTACCACTTTGAAATGCTTTCCTCCTGTCACCCTTGTCTGCCCTTCACTATTTCTTAACCGCTCTGTCACATGCCTTGCATTGCATGACTTAATCGTTTGAGACTTTGGACTTGATTTACATATATAAACAAATAAAAAGTTACACACCTGCAGTTGCTTCGGCCAGCTGGCAAATGCCTGAGCAGAAGCTGCATTCCTGGATCATGACATTCAGCAGAGCACCAGACGTACATGAACTGCTCACTGATAACTATTGGCAGCAGCCAGTGCCTATGCCCCCATTGGCCTTTCTCCCATGAAGGTGAGGAACAGCAAGAGGAAGGCCCAGAGCAGCAAATCCAGCCGTCTCTGCTCCTTTTTGCGCAAGCGCCTTGCGTTTGCTCCAGCACATGGGCCAGGAAATCCAACCAGTTTAGCAGGAGTGCTTGGGGGTCTCCGTGCAGGAATTGATACACAGTTGTATCTGCAGTTGTACACACAGGTAGCAAAGACAGGGCTGATCCTGAAACGTCTTTGTCTCTATCTGGTAGCTTGCATTGGAAGGGGGGATGAGGGAACAGGAACATTAATGCCAAGCCCTGACCTCCTTTAAATTATTAGCAAACCTTCATTTGCCTTCTGCACATGGGCAAAAACCTCAGCTACTTAAAATCTGAGCCAGGTGGAAGTTGTGGCCCAGGGTACCCCCTTTGTCCCTACCACACAAGCTGCTCTAGCATTTCATCTCTGCTGTCAGTTTGTATACAGTTTGACAAAAATGGGTTGCCACTGAGGGCCACAGTCAAAGGTATAAGCTACGTTGTCTGTATGAACACCAAAGCTTGTCTCCTTGCCTCCTGTCTTGAATATTTTGACACAAATGATTCCATACACGACAGATCTAAACTTAATGTGACTTAGAAGCAAACAAAAATCTGCAGATAGCTATGGCACTGGCAAAAATCAGAAATTTCTGTCTGCAAAACTGCAGAATGGAAAAAAACTATGTAATTAAAGAAGACCTGCATGGTTTCAATGGAACAGTAAGTGCTCAGCACTTTCTGATGAGGGATTTAGACTTGGACATGTGAAGAACTGAGGTTAGTAAACGATCAAACATGTTTTTAATGTGTTTTTAACAGTTAACATTTCTTGGCATTGTGTGAAAAGCACTGGTAACTCCTGTGGCAGGAATGAGTGCCCACATGTTTTAAGTTGGGTATGTATTTAAACACTTAACTCAATTAAAACTCTGGGGCAGTGCAAGTTTCATTAATAATAATCCAGTGTTTCACCACAGGATACTCTAATTGTTCTTCATCAGGAAGATGTGATCCCAGAGACAGAAAGATTATGCATTTAAGAGGCTGAAATGATAACATTCAAAGCACTACCCTACATGATAATGAATCACCTGTTCATCCTGTAGACTTTGATGATAGCAAGCAAACTGCATGCATGTTGGGCAGCTGCTTTTGGGGACAGACTTCGCCTGGATTACAGCAAATCTCTGGATAGCAACCTATCGTGGTTTAGGGATGCACGGTATGTCACGTTACTTCGCTCTTCCAGTTCAATTTTCATAAGACCCTTGGGAGCTTTGCAACCCAATAATTAAGCCTCTCAACTCTATTGAGAAATAAGCAAGCAGGAGCAACACAGCATCTCAACATAAGCAATGGAAAATCTAGATGATTGATTGATGTGATTTGGGAAATCCTGTGCATAGATGGCATTGCTACCTAGGCCCAGGTGGCAACTGAACACTTTACCCAATGTGGCTGTCCTTGCCAAGGTGTAACTGTGCAGAAGGTACTGGCTGCGGAGATGCCTTTGGAATTAAAAAAAAAAAAAAAAAAAAAAGAAATCAACAGAGATCATGAAGAGAGATGAGACTTTCTCAGGGGCATCTGGGGAGTGCTTTCTAAATCAGCTTTCGTTCTCCCTACCAAACTTCTAACCACCCTGGCCTTGTCTCTGCACTCTACTGCTTGTGACTCAAACACTTTCAGTCAGGAACTGGGCAGGAAAGATGTCTGGAGCCAGGGTGCAGCCACACGACAGACCTGTGTGTAAAGTATCTTCCCTGTCTTTGTTCCTCACATTTAGAAAACTGCTCCCTGCCTCGTGTCTTCTAACCTCCGCTGGAGAACTGACCATCCACTACGTGCTATACCATGAGGTGAGACAGGTGAGTATCCAGGGCACAAATGACAAAACAAATCAAACGTCTGATCATCACAGTCCTTTCCAGCTGTAGCCATTCACTCCAGTTCCCTGCAGGACAACCAGGACCAGCCCCTGGTGGTCAGCCTCTGAGGGGACAGGCAAGGACAGCTGCGGTTCCTTTAGCACTCCCTCCCTGCAAGCTACTCCTCCAGCAGGATTTTATCCCACATGGCATTTTAAGCTAACATGAAGAATTCTCCTGCTCCTTTTATGCAGAGGTTTGTAGGCAAAAAATCGTGTTATAAAGAAGAAAAAAAAAAAAAGGTTGCAGTTGTGCAGATGAAGTGGAACTGAAAGCAAGGTTGTAAAACTGCTAGGAACTAGACAAGTGGGACAGGGCATTGCAGAGCACTGAAGGGCTTGCAAAGATCTTGCCAGCCATGTGTGCTGCTATCCAGAGCAGGATGTGCAGAGAGGAGACATCCCCATGGGGTGCTTACAGATCGATGGCACGCAGAGAGCACCTGGTGTGGAGCTGAGCATCGTGGGTGAAGCAATTAACGAGTTAGAAAATACAGGATAAACATGCTAGAATCTGATAGGGGAATACATGACAGAGAGAAGATGGAACAGGTTCAACCCAGATGAAGGGCAGCCACAGGGCTGGACAAATGGCAGCCCCTCCATGTGCTGGTCAGCCACTGGCTGCCGCCGTACACTTGTGCTCTTTCGTGTCAAGCCGAACAAACATCCCTCCTGTGAAACCTTGCTTGCAGCCTGGCCTGGTGGTGGTGCAAGGCCGGGAGAACTCGGATTATAAATCAGCTCTGGAGCCCTTGGCTGTGGCCAGAGGAGGAGCAGCTGCCCACTGGGGTGCAAGTAGTGGGAGGGGAAGGCCTGGAAGTAGCAACCACTGGCGGCACCTCAGCATGTCGGCACAAAGCGCCCGGGCACCTGGCTCTGTTGAGTCACCAGTACAGCAAATGCGCCCCTCTGCACTGAGAAAAGCTCGGGGATCAGGCCCCAAAGTCGAGCAGCTGCTGTGCCGTGGCAGTTGTGCCAGCCAGGAGCAGCCGTGCTGGGCACAGGGCGAGGAGGCGAGCATGGGGCAAGGCTCTTGGGGGTCTGTCGGGGCTGGCGCTGCAGCGATGGAAGCTGAGATGTTTTCCCAGGGCAGGTTAAAGCCGGACAGAAGTCAGCATTAAAGACAGATCTAGAGATAAAGAAGCTGAGATTTACATACATTTACCTCGCCACATCATTCACAAACACACTTTGATCTCAAGTCATCTGTTGCTATAATTACTGAGAGATGGTTGATGCAAACACACTTCCCACTGTGGCTGGGTCACTGCAACGGGGACTTGCTCTAGCACTGACCCAAGTCTGCGTTCCCAGTCCTTTCTCTGCTAAAAGGACTTCACGCTGTGGGTTTTCCATCAAGTAACCTTGGATATCCAACCTTCCTGACCAGCAGGCAGTTAGCCTTTGACCGTGTGTGTGAAGCCAGCGCCGTGGAAAGAGGCTTGGGTGTAAAGGAGAGCTATAGGCTCTTGAGAGCTCATCACGGGCAGACAAACTAATAAGCCGTGCCTGGGGGTAGCTCAGGATCAGACAGTTCGGGTGCTTATCTGCGGATGATCACTGCAGCTTTTGATGTTCTCCTGCTGCTGTTTGGACATGCCCACTCAGGGAGCTGTTCCAGAAAAGCCACTCCACGTTACGGTTTTAGCAGAGTAAGACAGGATTTGATCCTCGATGTAAACATGCCTTCAATAAAACAGGTGCATTTTATCTTTTGCAGCTCCCTACCTCACAGCCTGCCTCCACCAGCAAGGTCAGTGCTGCGTGCCTCCCGTGTGCAGATGGCATTCTTACAGGATGGGCCACAACTTAGGGTTCTTGTCTGGGATGCTGCCTGCAGGCTGCTGAGGACATGCCGATGTGGTGAAGAAAGCACTGCTTCATGAAAAAGGGAGTATGGAAATGATAGGGAGTAAAGGACAACAGAAGAAGAAGGACTGACAATTAGTGCTCAGACACAGCCACCTGAAAGGCCTGAAAGCCACCCGAAATAAAGGCAGTGTTGCTAATTCCAGAGATGGGACCAGAACAATACGCAAATGTCTCTGGGTGCAGCATGGAAAGAACGAGGTCTGTGGACACACCGTGCATGCTTAGGGCCTCACTTCAGTAACCACGTGAAAGCTAAAACACTTCTGTGTCTCGGCCTGGATATCTCCCATCTCAGCGCAAAGGCCTCAAACCTTCCATTAAGCATGATGAAGCTTTGCAGAGTTTGTGTGCAGAGCATGGCAGCCTGGTCTGTGCACCAAGGGAGAAAAGAGGATTTCTCCCTCGCTGTTTTCGGTGGGGAGGGAGAAGGTGTTTAAGTGAAGAGCTGGTCAGGGAGACAAGACACCAATGGCTTCCTAGAGTCTGGTGCGTGACATCCCACCCATTTTGTTACAAGTTGCCTTGGTCCCATCTGAACTCGCTGCTTTTTCTGTCTTTCGTGCCAGCGACAGGAATGACATCAGAAGCACTGAGTCATGAGCAGATGCGCCTCAGACTCCGCCACGTTAGCCCAAACTCTGTGCCCTCTGGTCTTTTGAAACCTTCCTTCAGGAGGCCTCTGGCGCACACATTAAAGGTCAGTTTTTCAATGTCGTCTAGTGCCAGTCAGAAAAGACGAGAGCTTTTTATTGGTTTTATCAGTCTGTATTTTATGTTATCAGTGGTTTCCTTTTCTGCTTGCTTGTCCTTCTCATCCATGCAGTTTCACTTGCTTCTAGGCTGTTTACACTCACATCATGTATGTTAAGAGTTGCCACATGATGATTTGATTTAAACAAATAAAGTAACAAGTAGCACACAGGAAATGAGACAGAAAAATATTTACGAGAAGTGTAATTTTGGAAGAACAGGACATTTAGTGAAGTTTGTTTCAGATGCTTTGTTTGGAGGCTCTTTTGCTTACATGTCACATCATTTCGTAGGCAGAAGCGGGAATTTCCGTGTATGTAATTGCAAGGTTTTTTGTAATAAAACTACAGAAGAGGCCCAAATGGGAGACTTTGAAAGGCCAGGATTTCACAAGCAAAAGGTCCGTGTTGAAAATGCCAGGTTAATCCTCAGTGATGTAATGGAGAAACAATTACCTAAGAAGAAGAGCCTTCTCTGGGTTTCTTTTGTTCTGGATAAAAATCTGGCTAGCTTGTTCCAGTAAGTCATGGGTGCACAAAGCCTGCAGCTTGCCCCAGGCCCCAATACATCCTCGACATCCTTGAACCTCAGCAGAGAAGCCTGGTGTTTCTGTGATCTAGAGCTGGATGCGAGTTCCTGCCCTTCCACACATGGCCAGAGGGTAGGTCCTGCCTAAATTGTTCTGGTGTTACTGTCCATCAGCCTCAGTGGGAAGGCCAAGGGAACTAAGGGTAGCTGTAGGCAGTCATCTCATGCAAATCCACAGGGTTATCAGCCTGGCCATGCCGTTCACCGTTCCTGCTGCTTGAAACCTGAGTCCCACTGTGCTCCCACACAACCCATGGCAACTCTGCCACTTAGAAATCAAAACCTCTTCCTGGCTTGGAGCAGGAGATCTCAGAAGGAGTGATGTCCTGAGGGACGGACCCGACAAAGCACTGGCCCTTCACTACTTCTTGCTCCTCTACCTCATCCTTCTGTAGATCTTCAGGTTTCTTAGGACATCCTCAGTCCCTTTCTGTTCCCATCATAACAAGGTAAGTAGGATCTCTTACAGGCTCCCCTCCTGAGAACCCTTCCAGCAGGGTTCTCCAGTCCCACCACATCCTTTCTCTCACCACATCTGTTGCCATGCCCAGGAGTCACGCTCTTGCTTGCAGGAAGCCAGCTCTAGTGTGTCTGTCTTGGCAGAAAAGAAAAACCTGACATTTTTCTGTCCCAGTCTTTACTCCCTGAGATGCACAAACACTTCCCAAAACCAAAATGTTTTTCTGGGACAGGAAGTTGAGACATGGGCTGCAGTCTGGGATCTAGACTCGATATGAGAGCATCTTTCTTCTCTTCAGGTTTCCTTTTCAGAAGTGCTGCTCCTCTTTCCTCATCCTGCCTCCTAAGACTATAATTTTCATGCTTTTTGTGTGTGTGTGTGTTACAGTTTCCTTTCACAGTTCTGTTTAACACCGTGTCTCAGGCATCAAATGCAATAGAATGTTACTGACTTTTGCCAACCAAGTATTTTCATCACTGTCAAAACAAAACACTAATATTATGGCAACAAAGCAATCACAATGTCAAAACAAGAAGATCAAGTTCTTTGGGATTCCCTTTCTGTGGGAAATAGCCAGTTCTAGAGTTGTGCTCCTGCTTGACCATGGGAAATGATGGAAAGTCACTGCTGAATGAAAAGAGGCTCCGTGGACTTGAACCCTCCTGCTTTGCAGATATCTGGAGTGACTGTTAACACAAATCAATGAATGTGAGTTACATTATCAATGCAAATGCAGATCCCTTCTGGAAGGAAGGAACATCCAAGATCTCTCACATGTGAAAACAAAGTGTTGTACCTAACTTTGTGTTAGCTTTAAGACAGACCACCACACAACCGAGGTGTTCCAAGCCAAATCTGACCTCTGGCTCTGCAAGGATTAACCTCACTGAAGATCATACATGTCGTAACAGCCCAGTTAACAGCTCTCAGGTAGGAAAGCAAGTGGAAAAGTACTGCCAGGGTACAGTTCCCTCACTCCTTCATCAAGGGCTGATGACACAACATAGCATGCCTGGTATCCTTAATTTCTCAAGCGTCCTCTGCACTAGGGAGGGACCTCTTCGAAGTCTGTAATAGATGGAGCTGATAAAGCATGCCCACAGCGGCTACGAGGAGCTGGTAGGTCACCTGAGGCATGGCTCAGGGTGGCAGCATCCAGAATTATGTCACATTTGGTTGATCCAAGCTTCGCCGCCTCGATTGCAGAAAAAAGATAGGATCAAAGCACCTATAAATAGTTTAAGTAACCCATAGCTTTGTGCAGGAGTGTAAGGAATACTGTTTTTTAGGTCACAAAACAAGCAATTATGTGCCAAGAGGAAATTGCCCAAATATTTCCAGTGTGTTTTTCCTTTTCTTAATTTCACCTCCATGGTATGTCAGTTCCAAAGGGTCAATTACATTTCCAAAAGATAAACGTTTCCGTAATTATACTAGGTTCACAGTTAAACTAAAATGTGCCTGCAATCTGTCACTTGACTAGGGGAAATGCCATGGGCATGGCTAAGGCAGGCCAGGTAAACCCTGAGCATCTTCATCTAATGACTGCCTTTCGTTTCAGTTAATTGCTCATCTGCCTTGAGAAACACCACCGCTTTCTCAGGCTACCCAAGAGCCAAGCTTTCTGCCTCTGCTCAGTGCCTCAGTCATTTCCTGAAGCCTGTGAAGGACCCAGTCTCTGGGGGGACAGCAGGAGACAGCACAGGAGCACGGTGATATCCTGAGCCAGGAGGGAATTTCACTGGGAGAAGAAGGGAGCATTTTAAATATCCATAATCCCAGAAAGAAGGCAGGTCAACTCATCTGTCTGACACAAGGACTCTCACCTAACGAAGAGCGATTCCTTTACATTTGGGTCTCAATTTTTAATTCACGGGGTTTGAGATAGTTTGGGAAAATAAAAGGCATGCAATGAAGAAGAAACCTTCTGCGGGGTTCCCTGCAGGTTGGCTCCCTAAATCACCAAGTGTCTGCAAACAACTTGGCCCAAGATTCACTCAGAAGGTTTTTCTGGCACACCCTGCCAGTGTTCACAGGAAACAGCTGTCACATAAGCAGCTGCAGGTCGCGTTTTCCATCTTGTGTGCAGAAAGGGGTGTGCAAAGCGTGGCATCTCCTTCCAACGTCAGCATCAAGGTAGCGAGGAGGTGCTGAGCACTGAGCTGATGTCAGGACAGCAGCCTGGCTGGCGGCACTCTGCTCTCCTGGGGTCAGAAACCCATGGGCCAGCAGAGCAAGTGTCCTTTCCCTCTCCTTTCTGCTCTGCCCATGTACTCATGGGCCTGTATCCAGCCAGATGTGCACCTCACACACTGGCCTCACTGGAGATGGGTCAGCCTGCTCTGAACCGAGGGACAGTAACTGGGAGAGAGGTGACAAGCAGCAGCCCACTCCGGGAAACTGTTTATTCGTGGCACTGGCCTTGGGAGTTGTGTAATTCTCTTCCAGCCTCTGTTGCGCCAGCCTTTTTCTTCAGTATTTGGTTTGTTTCTAGAGATTTCGTGTGATTCATGAGGCTGTTCTGCAAAAGAAAGCAAATGCAGGAGAAGCCCACCGGTGGGGAAAGCCCTGGCCACGGAAAGGAAGCGATTAGCAGCCGACGTTCAGAGAGATTCATAGGCAGCCCTTCCCTTCCAACAGGAAGTGCTCCTGCTTTGAAGTTTATTTGGAAGGCTTTAAAAATCCTTACTAATTGCCTTGCACAGACCAAATGGGATACGAGGAACACTTTGCAATGTAAATATGCTCCCTTGGTACACTGAGAATTAGATAACAAGACCAAGCTCATACCTCTCATAGGAAGCACAGCCCTGACAGCCAGCTCAGCAGAACGCGCTAGAACACACGCACAGGTTTCAACTTTGCTCTGCTCGTCACTGCCATCGTCTCTGTCTTCAGGGGCCTTGAGGTACTGCTGTGCCTTGATTTAGTATGTGGTGTACGTAATGAAAACGTGACACTTGAAAATGAGTACGCTTAGTATCAGTTTAATGTTTCATCCGTAGCAGCAGCCAAAGGCCTTTCTCCCAGAGAGCTCTGAAATTCGCCAATCCACCTTTGTCATAGACAAACAAAATAAGCTCCTGTTTCCCAGTAAAAGCATGCTTGGAAAGTGACAGAATTAATTGTTTGGCCATTGTAGAGACACAGTCCTTCCCTCTTCTGTTGCAGGGCCTAACCTGCAGCTGTTGGCGCTGCCACATGGAGCTGGAGCTGGAGCAGAGTCTCCAGGAGGACAGGGAGGTCACGTAGTACAACAAACTGTCATGGAGCCAGGTCCCAGATGGGAGAACAGCCATAAACCAGAAAATGTAAGTGATTGATTGTTTCTGCAAGATAAATGTGCATAGAGTTAGCTGGAGCCAGTCTGAACCAACAAGGGCATGCTGGGACAGGGGAGGCATGTGAACAGGGAAATGAAAAATTGACTACTAGTAAGAGTGGGTGGATTTCAGAAAATATGTGTTACTCTTGCAAGGTGAGATGGGACACCAGACAGAAAAGCATGGAACTATTGTCCCAGACAACTTCTTCCTTGGCCACGCTTATAGCTATTTTACCCTATCCAAAAAATATGTACTCTATCTATTACCCTGCAATCTCAGTCAGCTTTTGGATCCATGCAAAGGAATAGAAAAAAATAGGAGCAAGGTTGTTTATTGTAAGTGGTAATTCTCAAAACATCACAACCCAGTTCGACAAAGAAATTTTGCCTTCCTGCAGCTTGTGGGCTTAATTCCCTGTTCTTGTCCCTCAGCCAGCCCTGAATGCCCCGAGGCTGTGACCCAGCTGTCTCAAGCTGTCTAGCTGGCTGGCAGAGAGACCAGAATCGGGTCTTCAGCGGGGAGGCAACCTACCAGTTAGAGGAAACTGGTCGGAGGAGATATCAAGGGCTGTTTTTTCACTCATCTGATATGCTTCTCTAGAACTAAGGGAATGAACGTCACTCACATTCAGTCATTTGCAAATAATCAACCTAAAGTAAACCATCCCCAGTTACTTCTCCTTCAGGTGTAAGCAACTTCCAGGTCCTGGCTGGGTGGGGGATTTCCTGTCTGCGTTTAGTTTGTACTTCTTCCAAGGCTTGCGGTTTGCAGGGTGGTTCGTGCCTTCCATTAACACCCGCTGGATGTTTAACTCATTTTTAATTTTACAACTGGGGAAGTGAATGCTGTCTTCTGCAACTGGCAGAATCCATCCTGGCAGCTGAGTCTGTGCCTTCTTCTACCTACTGTGAGCCAGAAGGTTTGTTCGGTTTTATTCCACGAATACTGCTGTGATAATAAAAGAAAGCAAGATAGATACAGAATCACACAAGAAAGGTAGTAATGGAATAAAACTGCCAACAAAACTCTCTGGCTTTCACATGTGACTGCTTCATCTTGGCCCGTTTTCAGTTGAGCATCATTTGCACCTTGGAGTCTGGTAGAGCTGGGGAAACAGCATCAACTTGGAAGTGATGCATTTCCCCCCATGACGGCCTCACAGATTCCTTTGTAGATATATTTTAACAAGCTAGGTCGAGAAGGGCATTTTTGTTAAGGAAAACAAAACAAAACAACAACAACAACAAAAAAACACCTTTGATGTTCACCAAAACCCTTCATTTTTCCAGCCTGTAATCCTGTCTGTTTTCATCATGAACACGTCAAATGGAAAACATTTAAAGGGTTTCCTTGAAATCAAATGACATGAAAACAAAGTGAAACTGAAATGAAAAATGTCACTCTCCCAGGTCCTTAACTCACATAACATATTTGCCAAATCCAAGTTAAAATCCTTGTTTGCTGAAAGTGTATTGCTTTGAGTGTATAAACAGTCCTGCAGATTAAAATAATATTAGTTCAGCCATCAAAGTATTTATATATTTTCTTGCCATAGTTTCTTCTCACACATCAAGTCAAAGGATCGATCTTTACAGTTTTGACAAATGCTAAGCCACAGGCTTCACAGGCCAGTGGGAACTTTTCAACAGAAGCTGCAGAACATGCTGTGGCCTCGACATACCAGTCCCCTGGGATGTCCTGGGTGCAGTTAAGCCCAGCACTGCAGTGTCTCTCTTTCCAGGTAGATGCAGAAGGTCAGCCCCCCCCCAAATCAGTACAGAGTCCCTGAAGTGACAGGGAGGTGTCCCCCACGCCTCCTATGCCAGCTGAGATCTTAGCATGGAAGTATCACTGAGGCACTTGAAAGGTATTCCATTTGACCTGAAGTCATGGGAATAAAATTACAGGCAGAGTAAAGGTACAGTCACGGATATATGTATCCATACTCACACAAAATCCATCTCTGAGGTGCAGTGTTTCAGTCATGTGCCATAAATGCATCTCCAGGACACATTTCTGTCTTGTATCATAAATACAGGGTTGGCATGAATTCAAGCAAGGTACCCTTTCTTGATCCCCATTCCAAACCTCTTGTGATAATAATGGTAACAGAACTACAAGGCTACTACAAGGCCCCTCTTGTACTGAATTTTCCAGTACGAGAGGAATTGGAAAGCATTAACAGCACCCTAGACACCGAGTCAAAGCTCCCACGTCTGATTTGCTTTTGCTAAATCCAGAGAAGGCTCGCTTTGCCTAACCTGTGGCTTCTCAGCAGGAGATATCAATATACACAATTGCTCTTATTGTGGGTTTTGGTGTTGTTGTTTTTTTGAAAATTGAAAACTTTTGAGGAAACTATGAAGTCAGGTTTGGGAAAACATCGTGATGCAAGTTTCCTTGCTCATACCAGGTATGACTCTAAATGTCTGGCATTTCAGTGTTAACAGCCCACCCCACAGCAGCGCACAGCCCAGATACAGCGAAACTACTCGGGACAAAGCCAAAATTCCCCACAGAGCAGAAGCAAACCAGAGCAGCAGCTTCCCTGTATGCCATCATTGTCTTTAGAGCTGTCGGGCCTGCAACTCCAATGCGTCTTGGTGCTTTAAAGAAAACAAAAGCTATGATGTAGGGCGGCAAAAATGTTCGTTGTACTCTTACTCTATACTCTCCTACACAGGATGTGCAGGATGTTTATGTTACCACCTGGAGGTCTTTATCCTGCAGGGACTGGAAGTTTTTGAAGAACTCTTCTGCCCGTTAGAGCTGGGCCAATGGCAGCACAGCTGAGTCAAAGAGCAGCTCTTGGGGCTGAGGTTTGCGTGGCGTGTGAAGGATGTCTGGGTGGCTGTACGTGTTCAGCTCCTGGAAAGCCAGTGGGAGGCTGGGATCTGTCAGAGCAGCCCGGGCTTCCTAAGGGCCTTTGTTCGCACACACCGAGCTGCTCCCCTCTGCCGATGGCGATGGGACAAAGCCCAGCTCCACACAAAGCAAACACCCCAGCGGAAGCTGTGATTTTGCAGAATAGGTCCCACTGCCAAGATCTCACAGGAGATTGCTCGCCGTTTACTCAGTAGACAGAGCGTGTCTTTGCCTGCTTGGTCTTCTGCCAGGCACACTCAGACACTGTCTGCTGCCCGTTGCTCTGACACGCCGACCGTCTTCTGAGGTGTTACAGGAACCCAGCTTGTATGGGGCCAGCTCCTTCCTCCCTAATTTGCCTTCTGCTTTGATCCTGAAAACACTGAGCAGGCAGGGCCTGTCTCATCTCCTTTTCCTCATGTCTGGCTGCGACACTGGAGGGGCTGAGCAGCAAGGGGCCTTGCCCAGTCCGTGTGAAGGGACACTGTCCGTAGGCCACAACTGCAATGTGATCCCCATGTCTCTCCCCACTGAGGAGGCTTTTTCTCTAACCCAGCAACCTCTCTCTCTCCTGGTTTCTCTCTTTGGTCAAAGAATAGAGAATTGAGTGATTGAAACTGTTTTGCCCTGTACTCACAGAGGTCTGAGGGAACTGGAAGGAGGCTGTGGTGAGGTTACAGGTGGCACAAGCATCATCTGAGAGTCTCAAGAGTGAGTACATTCAAAATGGGGATTTTCCTCCCCTTCTCCCGAGGAATTCTCTAGGAACCTGGTATTTCTTTGAGACCTGGACAGATGCAAGACATACACACATGCCTGGAAAACTGACTGGAAATTCAGTCAGAGAAGCAGGGAGAAATGAAGTGTGAGCACTGTGCTGCAAGAGTTCCTTCAGAACCTGCTCCTTGCAGGCAGCACAACACGGCTCCATGTGGTGCAGACATCCAGGGTTCATGCATGTCACTGAGTGCTGGATACAACAGACACTTAGAAGCACATCTCCATCAGCATCATACTAGGCAAGGGGTACTGCTTTCCCTTGCTGGCAGAGAGGATGAGGTGTAAGGATTGGTTTTGGCAGAAAGCAGGGCTCCTCTGTGCAGTTCCTGAGCTTGCAGCGACTCAGAGCTGCTGTCAGTCCTGTCATGTAGCGAGGGAGAGATGTGCTACATCACCAGGCCTGGTGCCTTGACACTTCTCTTGGGAGATCCTTCAGGGAAACACAGCAGCAAATCTGCAAGTATCAGATAATTGTAGATAGGTCATTCCTGAAGCAGCAGGTACCTGGAAGCAATTGTTTTGACTAATATCCTGTTGCATACCGTGAAGCAACAGAGAGGAAAGAATAACAGGCACATTATCTGCTCAATCAGAAGTCAGCACAAACTTCTGATGAAGAGCTGGGAGCATCACCAGGAACATTCAGACAGGAATTGAAGGATGAGGAAAAATACTGTATAGCCATCCCCATTGTAAAAGCTACGCTAAAAAGGTAAAAGCAGAAATGGGGGGAATTTCTCACTTCAGCTTTTCTGTTGCCTGCTGAGGTCACAGCAGATTTCTAGAGCAAAGGGCAGACGTGACTCAAGAGTCTACGAAACTTCACCAGGAAATTGTCTCAAGACCCCAGTAATCACATCAGAGCACTTCAGCACGGAGCTGGGCGCAGCTTGGACACTCGCGTGCTCTCTGTGCATGGGAAGAGCGCTCCTCTGCAGAGGGCCAAGTCAGGGATTTGTACAGATGATGCAACCAGCCCAAGAGTGCACATCAAGAAGATAGCTTTGGATAAAGGGTATCTCTTCTAAGTTGCCAGGTGTCTGACATATCTGCCAGAAGACCAGATGACTCCACGGGCATGCAGAGCACAGAATCACAGAATCATCTGGGTTGGAAGAGTCCTCCACACAACAAACAAATGCAAGCAGTGACACTTCTTGTAGCTGGGAGCCCTTCAAGGCCATCAACGGAGTGCCAGAAAAACCTAGCACTGCTTGCAGCTCCCCTCGGCAGCATCCATCATTCAGGGGATACTAACACAGAGTCCTCGAGGCGGCCCAGAAAGTGGCAAAACTCCCAGCAGTTTGAGCCCCCTCGGGCCCCCGTCCAAACGCCATTACCTTCGGCATGGCAGCCAGGCCTGTGGCTTGCAGCTGCACATGTGCTTCAAAATGCTACGAAAGGCAGGTTGTCTGGGTCCTGCCAGGAAGAGCTGTGAGTAATCAGCCACCTGAAGCTGAGGTTGCGCAGGGTGGAAGCCTCGTATCAGTTGCCCAACCGTCACCCCCTTCCTTTCCATTGAAGTGCACAGCATGCAAGATAAAATCAGTTCCAGACAGATTATGACAAAAAGTGGAGTGTATAATAAAGTACATTCTTATCCAAGTGGATTTCCTGGCCTGATGAGTGAACCTGCGTGTTTCTGCTCTACCTTTGGCGTATGCCTGTGCAGCTGGGCTTGCTGACACAACCCTGTCTTTTCCTGCAGCAAAAGGATCAGTTACCCTGGCAAGTGGCCTGCTGATGTGTTCTCGGTCCTCGCCTCCGCTGGCTCAGCCTCAGCACCAGCCCTTGTGAGCATTTGCTGTGGGGCAGGTACACAGGAGGGAGCAGGGGTGAGCCAACATCCCCTTTTTTGTATTTTAAAGCACCTTGGCTACCTGTAACAAGATAGCTCAAACACTTTCACCTACTGCTCACACCCTGTATGATCTCAAGCATGCTCATATTTCCGGTCAGATAAAGCATTTCATTCAGACTGGGTGATTTTTATTAAGTCCTTGATTTACTGCGTCCTAAGTAAACGAGCAGCCCTGCAGTCAATTTTGCAATGCACACCGGAGCAGCAGCTTATCAAAAAGGAGCTGGTGAGAGGGGAGAAGAGGAGACTGGATGGGCAGCTCAATTCCTGAGCTTATCCCAGATCAAGCTACTCATGTGCAGAGGTCACACAGTGGTGCAGGGAAAATTTTAGATCTTTTAACTTGGTCCAGCGCTCTTCCTCTTAGAATGTGTCACCTCTTCATCAGAGAATGGAAAGACAGGCCTTCAGGTTTCCACAGACATCACAACAGGTTTCTAAGTCTGAACCTAGCTTGACAAAGTGCTGGCATTGGCCTGATGCCTGAAGCATAACAGGATCCCTCCTGTTCCACCCAAGGAGCAGGGACAGGGGGACTGGCCATCCCACATCTCCCAGGGACACCCATCTTTACTGGAGAATTCAGCAAAAGTTCCGTGTTTGCTGCTTAAGAAATACACAACAGAAATCTCAGGATTTCACAAGCTGGAAGGCAGGAGCACAGTAACAGGGAACCACTGCAGGCATGCAGAAAAGTTTCACTGTAGAGGAGGAGGCAAGGCTTTTCTGATCCTGGAGACAAAAGGGGATGTCTCGGCCTGTCCTCTACAAACCCAGGCAGTTCTGCTACAGGCCACAAGCTTAATGCCACATGGGCCTTCCAGATAATGCTCTGCAAGGACAGATCAGAGTAGATGGGACAGGATGGGCCAGCCCTGAGCCCTGTGTGCCCACGGTGTGGTTTAATTTAATACAGGAAAACCACTGAATGTCTGTGAGATGTGCTATCTTCTGCTCTTCATGCGAAGGCCCAGAAGTGTGTCCTCGCACTGACTGCAGGGAAGCCCCACTACACCGTTTGCCTGGAGCTGCTAGCTCCAGTGCAGCAGGGGTGGGAACCTGCATCCCACAGGATGTCCAGCTATTCCAACCCTGCTCAAGGGCTTGAGCTCATCGAAGCTGCAGCCCTACAAGACATGAGGGGCTGCCAACCCAGCTCTGTGCAAGCTTGGAGACTGTCTCACTTCAGTCTTTTCTGCAAACAGAGCACGGCTTTCTGTAGTGCACTGCGTATGCTGAAGCCCAGAGATGTCCAAGGTTAGCTATGCGTGCAGGAACAGTCTCCTTACCTCTCACCTAAGGTATAAAACCACACGGTGCAACACTGCTCCAGTCACAACTAGCCAGCAGTCCCAGGAGGGAAAGCATGTGGGACCTGGTGCCTGGCACAGCATGTATCTTCTCCATGCATCCAGATACCTCTGGGGACTATAACAGCTAAGACCCACAGCAGCAGCCTGCAAGCAGAGAGTAAAAGTGTGCGTCCATGTGTGCTGAACAGGGCCCCAGCTCCAAGGAAAGACTTGCGTTACGACCTGGCAGTCTGTCCTATTTTTCCTCTTTCTCTGAGTACCATACTAGAAAAAAAAAGTACACACGTACACACACACCACTAACAACACTCCCACCAAATCTATCAAAGCCAACTCTTCCTCAGCATCTGTGCCACCACTGGACAATGCTGTGCAGGTTTGAACTGGCAGCACAGCCCATGGTAAGCTGCTTAGCAGAAGATAAAATCGCCTTTTTTAGGACAGCAGGGCAGGACAATGCTAAAAGTTAGGCTGAACTGCCTAAAGCCAGCATGGTCATCAGCAAACCCAAGCAGCACAGTAGCACATGGCTCCGGGGCTCCACACAGCTACTGGGGGTTTAGAATTGCTGGATTTAGGGATTTAGGTAGCATTCTAAGAAGTTTGGTGGATTATTTTATTATTTTATTTTATTTTATTTTATTTTATTTTATTTTATTTTATTTTATTTTATTTTATTTTATTTTATTTTATTTTATTTTATTTTATTTTATTTTATTTTTTAGTAGCGTTTGCCTTAAAGCTCTGTTTAAAACCAGAAGCTACCATCTAGCTGGCTCAGAAACGCTGACATTGGTTTAACCTTTGTAGCTTCGCAGCTCCAGTTCCCAGCACCCAGCTCAGGGTTGCTGTAGCGGGTTTTGGTGCCGTCTGTGGGAACACCATGACCTCTGGTGGCCACACTGGAGCTCGACGAGTCTTACCCTCGGTGCCGAGTGGTAGGCTGCAGGAGGATTCACACCACAGGGACTGAGGAGCAAGGACGAGCAAGGCAAGCCCTGGCCCTGTTGGACTGCGCCCATTGTCCAGTGCCACTGGTTTGCAGAGGGGTGCAACTGGTGCAGCCTAGTGCCCGCTGCCCCCTCCCCACAGAGGCACACACAGCACCAGGGGAGCTGCTCCGTGCTGGGGCTGCCGGTCACTGGAAGGGACTGGGCAGGAGCGCAGACAGCAGGCAACTCCATGCCCATGCCAGGTGGTTTTCTCCTGTTTATGAAAAGCAGCTCACTGCAGTCCAAAGCAGAAAGGGTTCTAACTGGGCTTTAAGCCCTCCTTTCACGTCTATTTCTTTGGCTAGCCTTCACCACACAAGTGCTATTCTTGCATCGGCCCTGCTGTGCTTTTCTTTGTCAGGGGAGGTGGTGGCAAAGCGCTCCCCGGTATGGCTGTGGTAGGCCCAGACGGCTACAGAGACGTGCCTAAGGATAAACAACTTTAACTAATTACCTCGGCAGCTTTCTCCCTCCCAGCCACACGCACACCTTCCCAAGCCACCGGGAGAAGAATGCAGCCTGCAGCAAATCCGCTGTCCCTTGCATCATCATTTTGGGGCTGAAAGCATGCAGGTGAGAGTCTGGTGTCCCCCAGGAGGGCAGGTGGAGTTGGCGTGCGACCATGCTCTCATTACCAACTTGTTCAAATCATCGGGAATGACATGAAGTTGATGTTTAGCTGTGCTTTGGTCTCAGCTCAGTATTAATCTCAGTGTGTTCAGCATCCAGAGTCTATCACCAAATGAGGTCAGGAAGGCTTGTGCTGATAGCTTCAACCACTGTGTATCTCGGGACTTCCCTAATTACCAGGAAAGCCCCATTTCTCCTTTGCTTTTGGACTAGATTTATCAGGGAGCTAAGCCGACTAGCCAGTGAAACGTCCACACCTGATGCTTTTTTTTAGCAGCAAATGCAGTCATGCAAGTGCTGGCAAAGCTTCACCCTAGACTTGTGCTCTTTTGCAGGTTGCCTCCGATTTTGTTGGAAGTCGGCATCCGGCCCAGCTGAGAAGCGTGAAAGCATCAACTCGGTCTTTGGCTCCTCCTTGACCCAAATGGGAGCCAAGAGGCCAAGGAGCAAGCTGGTTTCCTTTTGTGGCTGCAGAACTTTTCTTATTTGGGCTCATCACCAGCTGAATTTCTTGACAAGGCTTCCAGGCACAGCCAGGGACTAGCAGAAAAGTCGGACCATTCTGCCATTGCCTAACTGGAGATACAGCAACGGGAGAGCCAGAAATTGTTCATTCCTGCAGCCACGAGCTGCATGCTCCCTGTCAGCCCTGTGAGCTGGGAAGCACCTCTCTCACCCGCTCTGTCACGTAGCCCCAGCACCCCGGGTCAGCCAGGAGATACAGATCTGGCTGGGGGAGTCTCGGCAGCCCTGTGCCTCAGATCTCACCGACAGTCAGGGCAGGGCTGAGTCTTTTTTCTTAGGGCTGTGTCTTGGGGCCCAGCTGTTATGGGGGTCACTCTGAAGCCCCTGTATAACACTAACCCCAGAAAGCTTGCTTTCTGAAGGATCTTCACACACATGTATGCATCAGCCCCTTAGCAGTGGCTCTTCTTGATGGGCATTTGTATCTCCCTCCAGTCAAGCAGGCTGTCTAACTGGTGATTTATTACACTGCTGCTAGCAAAACACGTGTGGCCTGGAGCGGCTGTCAGTGACCAGACTGCCCTCTCTTTCCCCAGCAGTGAAATTCTCAGTTTTGAGGCACGACACTCTGCAGCAAGGGTATTCTCTGCCTTGGCCTGACCTTCACTGTTAGCCTCAGGATCCATGTCTGTTGCATCACAAAAATTTGCTCCTGCTATGATGTCCTCTATCAAGAAAAGCATCATGAGGTTATTGTCTTCTGATATAAGGAGTAGGAAGTGATCACATGCTTGTGCAGGCCAAGAAAAGTGCACGACTCAGGCAACCACAGGGACTTCATTCTTGGTTGATGCTAACCCCCCCTCTGTACTGGGGTCCTTTTCCTTGTGAAGGAATGAGGCTGAGGTAACCTGGTCCCCCACTTCTTTAACGTGAGGATGCTGTTTGGGCAGTTAGAGAACAGAAAAGGCTGTTTTTCTCCTCCTGTTCCTCTTCAGACTGAGGATTTCGTCTCCAGGCCCCATGCATTTCTCAACCCTTTGTTATCGTTTTATTTTCTAGGATGAACTTCACAGAAATAAACAGGATTTGATCATTTTTGAGCTTACCCTGACCCCCTGAGGGCTGGACCCTTCCTGAACACCCTTTTGCCTGGAACAGGTGCATAGAAACAGACCCACGCTGCCTGCTCTGGACACTCAAAGTGAGTTACAGTGCTTTAATATTACCATACAACAGTCAGAATTACTTGTGTTTTTTTGTTTGTTTGTTTGTTATTCACTCCTGATCCTCTCTACAACTTAGTGTCTCTTAGCCTGTTAATGTGTGCTGTTCTCACCACGCGTAACAATCAAGCTAGAAATCTTTGATCTATTCACCTCCTTGGTATCAATTGCTTGATTTGACAAAGAGTGTGGAAGCGCTTCACATCCTGCTCAGAGGGAGAAAAAATACCTGCATTCATGATGGCTTGATCATGATGGGACAAAAAGAGATTCCCCAAAAAGAAAAATCTCTTTATATTCTTGACTGTGTCATGACACCATCAAGTGAATACCTGCAGGGCAAAGGCTACCATGACAATTGTACAGTTACAATCTAGACACATCTACTACCAGTATGAAGAGGCACAGATGGAATGGTGCAATAAAATCATCAACAAAAACAGGTTTTCTAGTTGGGAAGAGAGCTTTGAATAAGCCTCTTTGAAACCTGTTTGTAACCCGTTTGTCTGTCTCCTGAACTTTCCACCTTGCCTAGTTTTTTTCCTTTCCAATTTCAAACATTTTCAATTTGCATCCAAAAGTAGAAACTTCCCAAGTATAACTGCAGAGAGTGGCAATAAAAAAAAAAAAAATTGTGATGTTCCATTCTTTGGGAGAGGCACTGATACCGGGGTAAGGGTGCCTGCTTAACTGTTTCTCACTGACATCAGGCCAGACCATCAACCACATGCCTTGTGCTTTCGCATCCTGAATCTGCATTCATGTTGATTTTTCAGGTGATTCTGTCCCATCAGGGGAATGACTAGTTTTTGTTTTTTTTCCCCCCTCATTCGCCTTTCTTTATTCCCTTTCCCTGTAATTGAGAGGTACTCTTGCCTTCTAGGATATGTTTGGATTATGTAGTCAACTTTCAAAGTATTTATTTCTGCCCACAGTGTTTTTATAGAGTTGGTGCAAACAGCAACCAGAAAACAAAAAAAAACATCTGGGAAAACGTAAGAAATGCATAGCTTGGACAACAGATGTGCAAGGCACAGATCACCTAGCAGGATGCAGGGAGTAAAGAGCCAATTTCCGTGCTGTTCCTACTTCACAGGCCACATAAGTTTCCAAACTTGTCACAGGTAACAAAGCCACAAGGCTTCCTGACTCCAATCCTTCTCTATAGCTGCCTTTGCTTTCCACTGAAGGAGCCTACTTTTGCAAAGAACATCACATGCTCCACAGGACAATTAACGGTGATGGGGAGAGTTTCAACTGGATATAAGTAAGTCTATCTTCTCAAAATAGGTAGGACAAATTGTCACCAGCACCCTGGTGGTGGTATTGCTGACAAAAGCAACCAGCAGTGCCAGTGCTCACAGGACACTATGGTACTGAAGCTGTCACTGCCAGCAGTGATAATGGAAAAAAAAAAAAATTAAAACTTGACTTTCCAGGATGTGCAGACATGAGTTCCCATCGCGTTAATTGATAACAGTTGTGACTGAATCACTTGGTGGAAGTTTCATCTCCTTACAAATTCAGCACGTCCTTCCTTTCTGCTCCTCTGTTATGAAGGACCATTCATAATGGCACATGGGCACAGTCAAATGCTTTGCAACTCGCATCATAGCTCTGGTTAGACTCAAGCCAATCTCTCTGAGCTCTGGGAACACACAAATTACCATCTGGGCTGGAGTAAAAATTCCACTGCAATTCTTATCAACGCCATTTACCTAAGGGACAGGGAAGCCATCACAACAGCTTCATCCTCAGCACAGATGAGTACCTAATTTGTGTGTTCCAGCCACAATGAAATAAAATCCAGCAGGCACAGTCAGGACAGACAGTAAGTGGAATTATCTAGGTCACCAAATAAAATTCATACCCTAACGTCTTGATTTAAGTTTCTGACACAGTTTACAGTCAACATTTTACGTCAAAGACTTGGTGGGTGTTGTAGCCCGCAAACATCCTGCCTGATGACTCTCATAACATTGTACCTGAGGAAGAAACTGTCACATCCGGAATTTTCAGGGGGTGGTAGATATTTCACCCTATATCCATGCATGCAGTGGGAGTCAGGCACTTAGATTCTTAAGCTATTTTTAATAATCCAATCCTGCGACAATAGTACCTTAAAGTTAGGGTGGTAGCGTACCATTTCAGTGACTTGGTGCCAAATTCAACCACAGAGCTAGGGCAGAAGCAACATATCAACTGGCAAAGTCACAATACTTGGTTATTAGTGCCCCTAGTGATTTTAAAAGCCATGCATCCCTCCATCCCGTTTTTCATCTTCAAGAACTCCAAAATACTCTTGGCAAAGCAAATACCCCTCGATTCCCCCATTTCCATAGAAATAAAAACACAGGAAAACCTGTCAGCTCTCAAAGCCACAATTGTGGCTTGTGAATCCTCCTCCTTGTCTTTCAGGTCAAGAGAATTTTGGTCATACCATGAAGTGAGATTTGTCTAGGTAATGGGGCTTAATTTCTACAAAGTGTTTCTTGGGAGGTTTTGCAAGCAGACAAAACCTCACTTTTAGAACTGTCACATCACTGAGCAAAGAGTAAGAGCACTTCACAACTTATTCTCTGGCTTTCTTTTTGTAATTTGTGCATCTCCTGCTTCCCCCCCCCCCCTTTTTTTTAAGGAAGTACTGCCTAGGAAACAAAAGTAAATTTATCAAGAACTATCTACAATTCTCGCTGCATAAGGTGGTAAAGCCATCTAAACAGCCCCTGGGGCCTGGATGCCTTCTTCCCTCATTGTTGAATTTTGTATGGCCAGCTCCTTCGTGTTCCATCACATTCAGCAGAACGCAGGTCACACTGATGACAACAGCCAGGCCATCATCTGTAGGAGTTCTCCTCCCCATATGTACTCACACACAAACACAATTCAGCTCCTATGCTAACATTGTTTCCGCTGCTTGCTCTTCTCCCACCAGTTCTAAAAAAAACTGTCCAAGGATGGAATGCATGAGTGGAGCTTAATTTAACACTACTTCCAAACATTTCTTGTTACGCAAACAGACTATGACATGTAAAAATATTTATATTAACAAGCCCGTGTTCTCTGGTCTACATCAAATAATCTTATGATCAAGTAACTACTGTGAGTTTACAAAAATGTTCTAAGTTAAGCAGCTACTGAAGTTGATGCTTTTGGAAACAGCAAAAACTGAACTACCCCACTATGTGCTGATTTGATTAGCCCCCCAGTTCAGTGTATTTTATTCATTTAATTTGTCACACTTGACTGGATTTTAAACAATTTCAAATATGTATTAAAATATATTTTATTAAAACAAGACAAGAGAATTAAATGAGTGCTAAGTGGACATACCTATTTTTGTTACCAAGAACGGATGCGTTTACTCTATTCATTTTTTTCTTTTAAAATTCAACCTTTTATTCACTCATCAAGAGCCAATAAGTTATATAAATCATAGTAGTTTTCATTTCCTTACTGAAGTAGTCAACAGATTTCTTTTTAACTTATTTTTATGCTGACTTGGTAGCACATTAGATCCTTAGAATGAGTATATTGGTCTTCGTTTTTCCAAAGAGATTCTTCTTAAAAACACTACCTTGCTTGTGCACATTTCTGTGAAGCCTCTTCCACGTTATTAGCATAACGTTGCAGTTCCCTCGAGTTCCCTCCAGGAGGTACCAAATGCAGCTGTACCAGGTGTCAAGGCACTCGATGCTCAGGGTCCATTCACACCTAGAGAACTAGCTCAGGAGGGCAGCAGAGTGGCCAGCGCACACCACAGCCACCCCAGCCCTTCCACCTCGCCACTGCTCTTTAAAGGAAGCCACAAATTACACTGAAGCTCCATGCTGATAGCAGAGGCAATGATTCCATTTGACAGATGTTAAACCAAATACTTCTGTATTTAATTACGTTAAGAGTTCCAGAAGGTTAAAATGGTAAACAAATGCACAGAACTCTTGTAATGACAATGAACAGCATTGTCATCCCCATAATTTAAACAGTGTCTAAAGCAACTTCTAAACAAGTAAAGTTTGGGATACTCATATAGAACTTAGTAATTTTTGTTTGCTTTACCTAGTATGAAGGGTTTCCAGACACTTCAGTAACTTATAACTTGTCCCATAGTTGCCACTTTCCCCTCTGCTTCTTGTAAGCAGATGTTTTGAGTTGTATACCAATAATAGATTTTTTTCCCCCACTAACAATGCAATCTAGTTTTCATTGTAACACACGAAAGAACATTAGTCTTGCTCCTCTTCATCCCCATCCTCATCTTCATCTGCTTGATCTCCAGATTCAATATCATCCTCATCTTCAACCTAAAATGAATAAAGATCTGTTGTGAGCAATAAGGTCCTTTCCGTCAAAGGATCCAATCCTTTGAAGATAAAACAAATGCAGAGGGAGTGAAAACAGGCTTAAAAGGTAACCTAAAATCATCATGCTGTATCAATTAATTCTTCAAATTGTCATCTTACAATCTCACAGTTTAACTTCTACACGTGCTACAAGTACCCCCTAGACTAACGTTTTATCCAGATAGCAGAAGCTAGACCAGATTAACTGTTAACTACCAAAAAGTAATCTTTAATACATAAATGATTTGCATCAGAAAGAATGATTGCTTTTGGATAAGAAACACAGGCTCAAATCCGGCATTCAGCCACAAGAACTGCAGCACATCACCTAGTGACATCCACCTTACAGTCACAAGTTCAGCTGCAAGCCACAAGGTCAAAGTTAACTGCCCAGAGTTCCTCTCAGATGCTGCAGTGACCATTTGCAGCAGAGCTAGAAAGCTTTAGTTGCTTGCTAAGTAATCACTTGGATTTTTTGCAGAGCAAGCCCTTGGAGCATTACAATGTCACCCTTTGTTTTCTAGCTGGCAGCCAGGACAAGCAACAGCAAGGGCAGATGGTCAGATAGCATTCCAGACACATGGATACAGTATAAGGTGTTTTCATCACAATGCTTATGCAAGTACCTCTGAACACTTCTTCCAAGAGGCAATTTTCTTGCTAGCTGCCAACTTAAGTTCAGAAAGCAACTCTGGTAGATCCAACAGCCCTACATTTATAGAAGGATGCCTCACCAGATGTATTGGATAAAGCACTGTCATACCCCGACTGCTCAGGCGAGCCTTGGACCTGAGAACTTACTTGAAACATTGTTTTGCTTACCGGTACACCAAGATCCTTCAATTTATTCTTCAGGGCAGATAGTTTCTGATCCTGGTCAGCCAAAAGCACCAGAAGATCATCCTGTTCTTTTTTTGATTCTGCAACTTCTTGCTGAAGTTTGCTTTTCTCATCTTGCAAGATGGCAACTGTACTGTTGGATGAATCTAGGTGCTGTTTTAGTGATGCTTTTTCTTCAGAAAGGGCTTTGACTTCGTTCTGGCAACAGGAAAGATCCCACACCGAGACACACCTTAAGCAAGGAAAACTGCTTTGTTTCCTACAAACACTTCGCATACACTACTTGTAACAGCTCGATCCCTACCAACCGTCCTGTGGCCTCACTCCTACAGTTCCTTAACCAAACTCCCCCTATTACCAGCCAAGAGAAAGGTAGGTAGGAGTTTTAAAGAGTGACTACTCTCCCGCAGTCAAGTCAGGTTGTCCATGTCACAGTAAAGCTATTTCCTAGACCCTTCTTACTAAATCTTTAAAGGCTTCAAAGGCAGGCAAGGCTTAAGTTCCCCAAGTGAAAAACAAGAGATGCATTCAATTTCCCTTCTGTTGTCTAAAACGGAAAATCCTGAGAGCACAAACCCCCTCCATCCAAAGTGTTTCCAGTTGCACAAGTCCTAACTGAAGGCTGAGCGTCAAGTGACCTGGTCTGGCGTTCATCCACTACTGACCTTCAGATCTTTCACTTCTTGCACAAGTCGTCCCTCTAATTCCAAGTTCTTTGCTGCTGTTGCACTGCTGTCACCTAATGCAGGATCTGCGCTTGTGTTCTGTGCAAAAGAAAAAGCAGTGTCAGGAGCACTGAATGCCTCACAAAGTCAGCATGCCAAGACATTATACAGTTACCTGTAGATGTTAAAAGCTTACTTTCTTGCTACAGCATAGCCAAAGTATGGTAATTTACATCATACACTGGAAGGCATCAGAAAACAGACATATGCTTTCTGGGGTCTGAATACATGCATATGCATACACAAAAAAGAAGGTATAACCTTTAATTCACAGAAATTATGGTGTACCGATTTTTTTTCACCAACCCAGTCACTTACAGGCCACCAGCTCTCACCTCAGATGGTTCTTAAGTGCCAAAGGGTTGATTTTTTCGTTGTTGTTTCG